GCAGAATGAAATGCTATTAGCAATTTTTTTATTTTAAGAACAGGTATAACAAAACATTAATTAAAAATATTCGAGGAAACTTTGTAAATAAATATAAATAACACTATCATTATTTAGCAACGTAAATGAAAATAAATCTTCTTTATTGCTCAAAACTCGCACAAACACGATACAACATAATAAGTACGTGGAAAATGACAATTAAAATAACTTGGGAACATATACAGGGTGAACATAAAATAACGGATAAGCTCCATGATACATTGTTAAAAAGACTCTGAAGAACCCGAAAATATGGTTAAAAAATCGCTGCACCAAACTATTGCCAATATTAAACTTCAAAGTTGAAAAATTAACTTCGTAATTCTGATTTGTTTTAATGAACTGCATGTTAAATAGTTGTTAATAATTTAATAATAATTTGCTATTTTTTATTGTTGGCAGAACTTGTTTAACAAATTTTATGAGAATTCGAGGCTGTAATTCAAACCATATGAGAATTATGAAGTCAACGCCTCAACTATAAAGTTTAATACTTTCAAAAATTTGGTTCATGATTTTTTAACCACTTTTTCGAGATTTTTAGAGCCTTCTCAACAATGTACAAACGAGCTTGTTCGTCATTTTTTAATCACCCTGTATAAAGGGCTATCAAAAACAGAATGAACGTAATTAAACACCTTGCCACTTCTTGAGTTACAACTTCAAATCGGAAAATGAAAAAATAAAAAATCAGTTTTGAGGTAAAATAAATTTCACCTGAAAAATTAAGGAAAAATCACTTGTTTAATATAGGTAAATATTACACTTGCATACACTGAAATTACATTTTTTTACACTGTGACGTAATAAAAACCGTTGATTTTTTATTTTTTTCCAATAATAGTATCCCCTTTTTTAAATTTTGATATTAAATGATAGAAAACGATATACAGGGTGATGCTTAATCCAAGGTATACCTAAAACTTGAGAAAGATCTTCCTTACTAAAATGTATACCTAATGTTTAAAATTTACGGGATGTAATAAATTAAGAATTTATCGGTATCTAAATTGAAATAATTTCCTCTGGGATCACCCAGTAAAATGAGATAAAGCGTTTTAGATTACGTCAGTAAAAAGCATTTCTTCCTTTATTAATATTTTTCAGACACCCTGTACATCTATGTATGTCTAAAAAAATATAAATACACTAGTAAACTACAAATCGATTTTTTAGAGAGGATGAAAAAAATGTTGATTAGAAAAGAATTAAAAAAGTTTTTAATTTTATAAAATAGCAAAACCTAAACTTTTTTGCCTTGGGGTTTTCATGAAAATTAAATTCACAATTAAAAATATTGGAGGAAACTTTGAATAAATAAATAACGGGTGTTCAATTGAAAAATCACTCAGAGAAGGCGTTGGAATTTCATTTGACACAAAGGGCATGTCTGTTATTATAGCATCCATTTGGCAGAAACATAACCTCTTATATGCCATATGTTATAAGAACAGACATGCCGTTTGTGTCAAATGATGTTCCAACGCCTACTCTGAGTGATTTTTCGATTGAACACCCGTCATAATAAGTACATTATAACAGTATTATTATTTAGCAACTTAAATGAAAATAAATCCTCTTTATTGGTCAAAACTCGCATAAACATAATTCAAGCATGACAAAATACATGGAAAATGAACATTAAAAGCACTTGGAAAAATACAGGGTGGTCAAAGAATGACGCATAAACTTTTGACAATATTAAACTTCAAAGTTGAAAAATTATCTTCGTAATTCTGATTTATATTAATGAACTGCATGTCTAATAGACTATTAAATACTTAATTAGTTATTAATAATTTAATAATAATTTGTTAGAATACGTTCCCATTTTTTACTGTTGACAAATGTTTTTTTGACAATTTTTATCAGTATTTTAGACTGTAAATCAAAACATTTGAGAATTACAATAAACTTTGGAGTTTAATATTTTCAAAAATTTGGTTCAGTAAATGTTTAACCATTTTCTTCGAGTTTTTCAGAGCTTTCTTAACAATGTACAATCAAGCTTTTCCGTGATTTTTTATCACCCTGTATAAAGCTCTATCAAAAAGAGAATGAACGTAAATAAAATAGCTAACCTTTGACTTTTCTTGGTAATTTTTGAGTCATAATTTCAAATCGGAAAACTAAAAAAATAAAAAACTCGTGATCTAAAAAAAAATGTTTTTTCACATGAAAAATTAAGATAAAATCAGTTCTTAAATATAAGTAAATATTACATTTACATACGGTAAAATTACATTTTTTTAGAGTGTGCTGTAATAAAAATAATGATTTTTGATTTCTTCAAACCCTACCTAATTGCACCAGAATTATAATTTTATTCATTTGGTTTTAAATTCTTCAAATAGTCTCCCTATTTTTTTAAATTTTGATTAAAAATCGTAGAAACGATATACAGGGTGATTCTTAATATAAGGTATAAAACTTGAAAAACATCTTCCTTACTAAAATGTATCTATACCTAGTGTTTAAAAGTTCCGGGAAATAAATAAGGGCGAGTATATAAACCACAAATGTAGATTATCTCAGATACAACCCCTATATTTTAACAAAACATCTACTCCAAGAATAAAAAAAAACACAAAAAATAGATGACACGTAATTTATTCCAGAATCAAAAATCCACTACTTGTTGAATTCAGTTTAAAAAAAATAAAGTGATTAATTAGTTTAATTCTTCTAAGATTACCAAACTACAATATTTGAAAGTCCTTAAATTATTTCATTCTAGAAGAAATCACTAAAACTGACACTGGCAATGTTGCCAGTTGTATTTTTGAATAAACTGCGATGTTGTTCGTTACTACTCAACAATAATAAACACAATCAAAGGCAGCCATGGATTATTAAAGGTTTGTCTTTGATTATTGCATTTTAAACTCGTCCGTCAAACGGACGCTAATCTGACAAGCTAAAAATTCTATCAAAGACATATCTCCAAAAATAATCATGTTTTTCTGTTGTCCCGGTATTTCCTGATGATATATAAAATACTGTGAAAAATGACCCAACACAAGAACGATTAATATCCCCAACTTAACGCACGACTTTCTGCAATCAACTCCAGATTCCATATATAGTATTCCAATGGCACGTCTTTGAATTGAAAATAATAGTGGTGACTCGCAGAATGTTTCCAAGCCAACGTTTCATATCTTAGCACTGATTGAAATAAAGAAAAAAGTAGTGAATTGAACTAGTACGCCGACAGTATTAGATATTTGTTGTGGAAGAAATATCATTTTATAAGAATAAATTGATATTATTTATCCACTTTTAAAACAGAAAAAAATGTAAATGATTATTAAATTTCATGGCCTACTAGGCGACTTTTTTCGATCATATGGTGTTTTTCAGCCTACTTGGTGCCACTCCTACACAACTGCAGGGAAGTCTTTGTAAGCAACGTAACAAAAGATGTTTATGAATGGGTAGACCCAAGGCACGACCTTCAGAAAAACAAAATTTAACCAAAAACAAGCAAATTCCATTAGCCCATACAATCCCTTATTTGTTTAGGTATCTACAATCTCGGTCATTACCACTTGGCTGAAATGAATCACTATTAACCAGTGATCAAGATTTTTTAATGTACCCCAAGGGTCAATTTTGGGGCCTCTTCTGTTCCTTGTTTATGCAACGGAATTACTTATGTTACCAAGTTAGACTAAAAATCACTTAGCCAATCAACGTTAAGCACTTTGTTTCGGTACCAAAAAATTTAAAGATCACCGAAATTCAACAACAGATAATATTAAATTTGAAATAGAGTAGAAATCACATCATTAGAGAACACAGAACTTTGCTTTAAAAGACATATTTTTCCACTTCGGGCTCGTGTTTTTAAATGTACTCTTAAATTCTCAGCAAAATTAATCTCAGCTTAACTGTAGAACAAAACTTGCTTACTGATCTCAGATTGACAACAATCTGGGTTTTGTAAAAGTTCCCCTCTTCTAACAATTCCGACTTAGCAATTTAGGAATTTGAAGCTGCTCACCTCCACCTTATCACCGCTTCCGCATCAAGATAACCCACAGATACCACCCATGTGACGTCACACCCCACCACCCGCCGTCACCACAAATGACATTTCACCTCGATTGGCCACACCGTGTCGCCACGTGACCTTCACCTTAACTCTTTAAACCCATTCATCATGACAAAATGGCGATACGTGGCAACCACGCAGCACGTGACAGCCGATTTCCCAAATCCGCAAAAAAACAATCACGTGACGCAAACAAACAACGACACCCCTGACCCGCCGCCGCCACCCGGCCCCCGATCCGCCGCTAACTAGATTACGCAACGTCGGAATGTTATAGTTTTTCCCGTGCACCCCTAGAAAAGGGAGAAAGTGGATCACCCCAGCGCGCGAACAAAATAGCATCGGTGAGGGAGAGGCGAGATGCGAGTGCGACGAGGACGGAGATAAAACAACCGCGCAGCAAAGGAGAAACGTATAATTTAAGAGGGACGCACTCTGCCATTACAAATGAGTTAAAAAAAGAAAACGGTTCAGCGGTGCAGACGGAGAGAGAGAGGGTGACGTGGGGAGAGCGAGCGGGAGAGAGACGCGAGACGGTTCGAGGCAGCTCGCGTGACATGATATATTGTAAATAAAGAATCTTCACTTGTTTCCAGAGCCTGCTATTGTTTATGCACGAAGAGCGGCACGGGGGGCAACGAGGGGGGCGGCGGCCGGATTATCGCTTAATTAGTGTCGGAGGCGGCTGGGCGACACGCGAAACCCGACCCTAATAAATAAACAATAAATCAACAACAACAATATAGTATCTACAACATGCACAATTACAACAACAATAGTAGCGAAAACGTAGTGTGGATATAGAGCGGAAGTAGAGATAAGGATGGATAATTAGCGGTGGACGAGAGAAGGGCAGCGCTAGAGCGCGCAAAGCGGTCGAAGATCAAATTTATCAAGTTACCTCAGCCTTGCGCATTCAACTGTCACCAGCACATCGCTCCACAGCACTCTGCGTTAAAAACCGTAAATGGCAACGCCGCAGCCGCGCCGGTCCGGCAACGCCGCTTCGCCTACATACACAGATACTGTATTGCATGTTAAAATATTCCGCTGTTCGGGCTCGATTTTGACGGGGTTCGCATTACCGTACGGACGCGAAATTCACACAGACCGTTCGGAGAAGCTTCTTTTCCCGATTACCGTTTTTAGCGCGCGGAAATCCGGTGAAAATTGGCCGAAAAACACGAAAGAACCGTCAACATGTTTCCGCAAGTAGAAATTACGGTGTACTAGCCGAGCTTCGCTTGTTTCCACAGCCGCTTCGACCCGCCTGACTTGGGCCCCGCCCCTGGCCAATGGCAGCGAGGAACGAGTATCGACGTCACGCGGGGGTTAACGAACACGTACGGCGTGTGACGAAGCTATAAACGTCCTTTGCGACGCATTCCATTTTGTTATGTGGTACATGTGTGGAGGATTTTTGAGGAGATTTTTGAAGGGGGCGAGGGGCGGGGGATGGGGGAGACGGTCGGGAGGCGCGGATGGGTGGGTGGGTGGCTTACTATACTTTAGTTAAGTCGTAAAAGGCGAAGATGGCTGGGGTTTGGGGAAGGAGCTGCGCTGCGTTGGGTTGAGGGTTGGAGATGGGGGTGGGAATGGGGGAAATGGGTAGGTGATTGAATAATGTAGTAATGGACGGGTTTATGCTTGGGTGGTGTGATTAGAGCACGTAGCCCGAAAAACGGAGAATGATCGGGATTTTCCGCCAGTTGGGACGAAGCGTTTAATCACTTGGATACTGGTTAGAAGACGTTTCAGATATATATAACACGAAAAATACAAGGTTGTTAACGAAACACAAATACCAAATTTGGCGGGAAAACGGCATCGGGTTTGAGTTTGTACAAACTTGGACTAAAATAATTCACACGTAGGTAACATTTATCAAGGACGAACATTAAATCGCGTAACTTACCTATAAGTCCATTGTAAGTCGATATATTATACTATATATAGACGTAGGTATGTGTTACTGAATACTTTATGCAGTTTACGATGCTTCCTCTAAGTTGTTTCTATAGACCCACGTTCAGATAATATGTGCTCAGTTGGCCTTGGTAATTATATTTTCGTTTTTATACAGAGAGTTTCACTTAAAACGTGTGCACACTGTGTTCTAGTTTTGTTTATTGACAGAGTGCTAAAATTCGGAACACCTCTAAATCGATGAATAATACAGACTAATTAATAAATTTCAATGACCCTCTCTATCGTCTGTCGTCTGTTCTGACGTTTATTAAACGCTGTAACTACCGGACCGATTACTTTGGAATATTAAGTGTTACCTTAACCTCTATCGTGACAAAAATTTGTTTGCCTGTTTGATTTTAATAAATTTTGGGAACAGGTTCGGAGCGTTATATTTAGTGTTACACTGTATTATTTTGACGACTTTTCTATTTTTCTAAAGTGAGCCTAAATAATTAATGTATTAAGTGTTACTTAAAAAAAAATGGCATCTGTGAAGTATAGTCACTCAAGAGATATAGCTGATTTACGACTTTGACTCCTTCACCACCCTTACAAAATCACCATTTAGCGGGAACGCTTCTCCGGCTTATCTTTAGAGCTATTAGTTTAAGATGATAAGATGGTCTTTGTTCGTAAACGATGGGTTTGGAAAAGTCACCGTATCTTTTGAGAGAGTATACAACTAATGCGGTAATAATTGTACTACAGAGAAGAGGTGGGTTCGATATAATTTTTCAAAATATTGAACGACTTATTTTGAAGACTTCTGTTATTCACTATTTTTAAATTCTGTTAATTAACACGACAATAATTTCGACATATAGTTTCAGCAAACAATTTTTGGAGTGTTGTTTTCTTCTCTGTTACGTTATTTATACATAGAAGAGTTCTGGATAAACAAGAATTTAAAAATGTGATAAGCGGATGTGAAACACCCTGTATACGAAATTTAGTTGTATGGTGATGTGTTGCAATTTTCCTAGATAAATTTTAAAATTTAATTGTAAAAACTTCGTCTTATTATGTGAAGTAAGTATACTCGCTCAAGAGATATGGCGGTTTTACGACTTTGACTCCTTCACCACCCTTATAAAATCACGGTTTGGCTGGCACGCTTTTCCTATACACGACCGACTTATCTTTAGCGCCATTAGTTCATAAACGGGGGGCTTGGAAAAATTAAAGTCATGAAACCACTGTATCTCTTGACCGATTATACAACCAATCCGATATTGGTTGTGCTACAAAGAAGAGGGAGGTTCGACATATAAATATATTACCTTATTGCTTAATTTGACTTCAAAATGAACAAAATAAATACAACCTCCTGACTTTGGACTGATGTCCCTATTATTTCACTCAGTTTTTCAAAAAATACAATTTTTTAAAATGTCTTACTTTTTTCTTCAAAATATTAAACGACTTGTTTTGACGACGTTTGTTATTCAATATCGTAAATTCAGTTAATTAATACAGTAATTTAGTAAAATATTAAGTGTTACTGAAAAAAATTGTCAAATTGTCTGTGAAGTATACTCGCTCAAGAGATAGCGCGTTTTTACTAGTTTGACTCTTCACCACCCTTATAAACTACCATTACTGAGCTGGTACACTTCTCCTACATACAGGACGCAATTTTTCAAAAAACACAATTTTCGAAACCCTTTTTACTTTTTTTTTTTCAAAATATTAAACGGCTTATTTTGACGACTTTTGTCATTTCCAAATTATGTTAATTAACGCAACAATTATTACGTTTTGGCAAAAAATGTTTGGAGTGTTGTTTTCTTCTCTGTTACTTTAATAACAGAGAAGCGTTCTGGATAAATAAGGAATTAAAAATGTGTGAAACACCCTGTATATGAAATTTAGTTGTATACTGGTTGCAGTGTTCTCATTTAATTTTAAAATTTAGTTGTAAAAGCTTCGTTTTACTACCATGATTCCTATCAGATGTAAACACACCTCACCGTAAATACCATCATAACAAGCTGAGAACTTATATTTCAAGATCAAGATTAGTGTTTAAGTAAGTATTTGACAACAAAACAGGTCATTAACATATGTATTTTTTTAACTATTCTCACCCAATGGCAAAGCAGATTGACACTTTATTTAAAGATGAGGTAATAGAACTGTTAATCAAAATTTTAAAATTTTATACAGGGGTCTCACATAAAACTCCACGGATTTGATCTTCGTAATAGTTCTTTGACGCCTATTGAAGTGGTTCAATTTTTTCATTCTGGAGAATATTTATGAGAAAAATTGAACCGGCAAAAGAGATCCCATGCACTCAAAAGCCAGCTCATAGCCCAGATTTAACGCCCTTGAATTTATTCTTGTATTGGTGATACACAAAAATTTAGCGTATTTCAAATCCTTACGTGAATTACAAGATTAAAAAGAAATGAATGTTTGGACCTTTTTACCACGTGATCCTCTATTAATAGCGACAAACTGGTAACCAATGACTAGTTTTGTGTTCATTGTGAAGGACGACAGACATCAGTTCGAAAATATGCTTGCGTTTATTATATTCATAAATTATATTTTTATTAACCATTGAAATCGTAATGTAATGATCTATCAAAATCCATTAAAAATATATTTTACAATAAAAACATGTAAGTTTACGTCGCGACGCCGACGCTGTACATGCGGTACATTTGCAGTGCACAAAAGCAAGCTTTCTCCTTCAAGCTAAAAGCAGTGGCGTTTACAGAATTTCAATTTCACTATCCGTTACTGGGATATAAGACCGCGGAGTTTTGTGTGCAGCACTCTGTATATGTAGATAATCAAAATTAATTATTATTAATTATTTTTAATGAATTATTTAAATTCTGTATTTTGTACTTATAATTTTTGAAATATAAGATATGTGCTTTTTAAAGTTTTTTATTTCTTGTCTACTTCTTTTTCCATCTGTCTGTTTGTCTGTCTGTTTGTCTGTCTGTCTGCCGTCTGTCCGGATTTTTATTAGACAGAACCAGTGGTCAAATTTTATGTAGGTATACCTATTACGAATATCGTGTAAATGGTAAAATGCTAATCAAAATTTGGCTGATCATCTCTATGAACAATTTGTTGTTAACAGTAGTAAATTTTATTTAAATTTTATAAAATAAGGTACTCCTGCACCAGCCCTTATTGAATTTTTGTTCTAGACATCCAGATTTTTTGAGAAAAAAAATCAAAACTGCAACATCTTGCAATTAAGGTTATGGTAAGCATGGTAAATCGATAATCAATTTTTTTCGTTTATGTCCCTCTAAAACAATAAAGACATCATTTTACAATTTTGTCGATTCTTTAATTTATATTTACCAAATGTAAGTTTCAGTGATTCCAAAAGCATTGTTCGTTATTTCAAATCCAATTCTCATCTGAAGGACTCGGATTGGATTAGCGGACGTTTTAGATGAAATTTCTAAATTGAAATCAGTAGAAAGTAAAATTTTTTCGTTTATGGCCCCCTAAAAATGATGACGTCATTTTATAATTTTGCAGACAAACGTTTCTTAAATTATGTGTAATTCAGAATCTGTGTTCGGTTTTTACCCTTGACATGGAGAGTTTTGGGAAAAAATTCAAAATTGTATTTTAAAATTTAACTTTAAAATTGCAAAAGCAAATGTATCTACTGAAAAAATGAAGCCCTCATCTTAGAATTCTACCGAACAAATGATTTTTAAATTTTATAAAATAATATATTCCTGTATGTGTGATTTATGAATCCGTGTTGAGTTTTTATCCTCAGCAACCAATTTAACTTTGAAATGGCACAAACCGAATGCTGTAACATTATGCAAATATTTTAAGATTATTTGTAACCTGGTAAATCGTTAATCAAAATTTATCCGTCATCTTATATTTTTGCCGATTTTCTTCCAATTTAATTATGAGTGTTTCTGGGAAAAAACTGAGTATGAATTTATCAGTTAGTTCATAGCTCTGCGTTGAGAACACAAAGTCAACCAAATTACATTTTCTTTTAATAGCTGACAACAGCCGCTGAAGTATAAACATAAACAATCCAAGTTAAGCATATACCGAGAATTTGAGAATATCTACATTTTTCCCGTTGGTTGTTTATTTTAAATATTTGAGAAATATTTTATTTTCAAAATATCTTATTTTTGTTAAGGTCAGTGTTATTTTTTTATTTATTTGAAATAATTAAATTTTATGTTTTTCGTAAGACTATTTTGGTCTTTGCATTCGGAGTGT